ATAGTTGTTTAGTGATCTTCCTGGATTTGGTTTTATGTCTGAGATCTCTGAAGTACACCAGTCTCTGGGCTTGCTATTTGCAATTTCTGTCTCAGGAAGGCAACATCTCTTTTCCATCCAGGAATAAATTTTAATGTACAAAAAAGAAAAAAACTGGTATCTTAGGCTTTCTTTACCCTCACATAGTGATCCAATAGATTTAGACACAATCTATGTTCACTCTCCATTTCTTGAATCATCTGTGAACATCCCCTTCTGCCCCTGACAGCCTCTGTTCTTTCCCTGTGGCTTATAAGCTTTCTGAGTCACACCCTTTAACAGAATCTTAGTTTTCTGCTGATGGAGATCATTATGGATCTCTACTGCCAGCTGCAAGATTTTGCCTTTAATTTTAAACTAGAGCTTTGCCTATAAGCAGCAAACAAACAAACAAAAAAGAATAATTTTCCAACTTTTGTCTTCCAGCTGCTGCCTTGCTGATACCTCATTATTTGGCTAGGAATATAAATGGTGTCTGTTTTCTTCAACTCTTTTTAATGTGGATTTTGGTACCATCTGATTTCCCTGACTCTTTGTCTTTTTACTATGGTAATCTGCCAACTAACTCTTATTTTTAAAATGATCCTGTTTATTTCCTTCTCTATGATTTTTCTTCTCTGATGCAAAGATGAAGAACAAGTAGTGTCAGCTGCAAAGCACATTTATTCAGAACTTCAACTCCATTATTTTCCTAAGCCACAGCTATTTTCTGAGACTTGAAATCTCCCCTGATTTGCTTGCTGATCTCAGGAGGTAGGGCTGGGAAGGTAGGAACAGCCAGTGGCAGGAGGAAACCTTGTCTCCACTCCACCATTTCTGATGGCTACATCTTCCTCTCCTCCAGCTCCTGTCTTTCGTCCAACTTGCATCTCTTTCCTCACTCATCTGTTTTCCTACAACCTAAATTCACCAAAGAACTTGGTTTTTTGATTTCTAGCAGAGCTACCCACAACTTTCATACATTTTTATTGTTCTGGGTTTCATACTGTCCTCCCCAGATCTTGTTCCCAGATGTTAACTGAGATTCTGCCCAAACCATCAACACTTTGAGTTATGCGGATCCCCACTGTCAGGTGACCAAGAATGATCCAGATGGGGTGATGACCCAAAGCCGGGTTTGTTTTGGCTCCAAAACAAACTGGAATTGGAGGGGTCCAATTCCAGTTTTCCTTGCCTTCCCACATGGCTTGATGCCAAGCTATCACTCAGTGTGCCTTGCAAATGTGCTCACCTCCATTAGGATGGTTATGTCATCTTTCTACTTCCTTAACTTGCTTTCACCTACAATTTTAATTTGCTGATATTTGCATTGTCTCGTGCCTCCAAAAGTCCTCAGTCAAATACTTGAACTTAGGTTCTCATATGATACCCACCCCTTTCTTCTTCTGTGAGTTTCAATTCAGTGAACTCTTGGAGTCCTAATAACAGAATCTCTGGAGTTCAAAGGAAGATCTGGAAGCATTTGGCATCAAATGTGTATGTGGGTAGCAGAGGGGAGGGAGAGATACTCTTTCCTTTTTGTGGCTTCTTTCCTTCTGCTGCTTCATGTGCCCTGGGGGAGGTGGTTTCTTTCCCTTCCACTCCCTGTTTTCCCCTGCTCAAAATCATATGCAGATGGAAGGCAGGGGGGTAAACATAGTGATGTTTTTTACCATACAGAAGGAAATTTGGTTGACATGCCATTCCAATTTCCTCTCTCTTCTGACTTGCAAAATTCAAGTTGCTGTGAAAATGAAAAAACATTAGTCTACATATATCACCCAACAAATCTTCATATAGCTGCTTCTCAAGGCAGCTCTGTGTTCTGAACATTTTTAACCCTCTCTGGGATATAACTGATTTGGAATCATGTTATATAGTGACTTTCTCATGCAAGGATGCATTATTCCACAAACTTGTTTACTCCAGGACAGTATTTTTTATCTATCTATCTATCTATCTAATCTATCATCTATTTAAGCAGTGGGAGAGAGAGAGCATAACCTGGGGGGAGAGGCAGAGGGACAAGGAGAAGCAGACTCCCCACTGAGCAGGGAACCTGATGTGGGGCTCGATTCCAGGATCCTGGGATTGAGACCTGAGCCAAAAATAGATGCTTAACTGACTGAGCCACCAAGGTACCCTATCCGAGAACATTATTTACATAAGGGAAAAATCAGGCTTGTGTGTATGTGTTTTCTTCCTAGATATAGAACTCATTTTGTCTTAAAATCTGAGTTCCCACTTTAAATTTTTAGGGGACCACCTGAACTTTGATCTTCATCCATGTTTTTTTAGGAACCCTCCTTCCTTGGAACCCAGGAGCACTAAGTACTTTTTTACTTGTATCTAAGAGATCAAAACAAAGTGTCTGCAGGCGAGTCCAGAGATAAGTGTGGTCATCATGAGTATCCCTGGCCAGCTGGGTTGATATTTGCTGATTGAATAAATGATGAAAATGTATAGAAGAAAAAAATCGTTTTGAGACGTACTGAGTACTAAGTAGAGTCTCAGAAGTGAAATTTCCAGCCATCAGGGCTTTAGAGACCAAGCTCAGATAACTATTCCAGAGGATAACTGAGAGCACCAAAGTGTATGGTACCATTTCCTCTACCCATGCTGGACAGAGACCAGGGCTCACAGGTGCACTGAGCATACCTTGTATTGGTGAATGCTTGCTCTATTGGTTGATAGTCTTGTGGTGGAAGGGTGTGAGTATGAGTCTGGGCTGAATCACTTTTCCTCTGCCCCAAGCAATATTACTATGGGTATTCATATTTAGGTTTTATCCAAGTTAATACCTAAAAAGTAAGATTTCATTTGAATATGTTAACCTTTTAGTATAACCTGATTTACAAAAAAACTTATCATCTGATTTCTAAAAATATTGATTTCTAAATACTTGATATTTCTTATCTTGTTGTCTATATCTTGGCTATTCTGTACAATTTCAATACATTCTTGTTGGAGCAAATATAGTAAATTAGTAAGTTTTCCAATTGTTGGTATTCAAAGTAGTGGTTCAAAGAAAGTTTCAGGAAAATGGGCAAGTATGCTGGAAAGACCATTTATGTGCATAACAAAACTTGAGCTGGGCATGGCTTTGTTTTTCATTATTTTGGGCAAGTCATTTAAGCCAAACTTCCCTTTTCAGGGCTGTTGTGCAGACCAAAGAAGATGAAATTTTTGAGTCTAAAAGATTTAGTACACTTACATGGAAATAAATTTTCTGGAGGAATATTATAAAGAGTGCTAGTTGATAGAGGTCAGCTTACCTGTTCTTAGTCATATAGAACTTCAGGAACCTGAGTGTTGTGATCAAATAGAGTCTAGGTGGTTTGTTTATTGATATAGGACAATACCTAGAGCAACACTGGACTGTGAAAAGAATGTGTTGGTCCCATACTCTGGGCAGACAACCTTGCATGCACTATCTGTACCCCTCACTGAACAAACTTAGCTCCCTGAGGTGGGGCAACCTTGAGGAACATGAGATATTTGGCTAACTAAAACACTGTGCCTTGCCAAGTGGTGTTTACAGTCCTAGTGTAGAGGAAAAGGGCTATGGACAAAGGAAGGGGAAGTTCAGGGCAGAGGAGGTGGGAAAGAAACTCCGAAGAAATAAGACATATGAAGAGAAAGACTTTGGAAAGAGAATAAAGTAGACTTGACAAAATTTAAGTATTACCAATTGGATTATGAGGTAGTCTCTGCTATAGTGCCTTTTGAAAGCATCACTTCTTTTGGGGTAGGATTTTTTTCTTTTTGAGATGCATTAACATGTTGAGCATGAATTTAAGTAGGACTTGGAGTAGAGTCCACACCAAATTGCTGGGTCACCTTTGGTTTTCCCACATCAGTATACTATCTGCTGCAAGATACCTTTTCCGACTCCATTTGGTTATTATGATGGCATGGGCTAAACCCCCTCATAAGGAGGGGTGGGGTCTTCAGTTTAATGGCAGGGTTTTAGGACATCAGCTTTAACATTAAACCCAAGAACTTTCTAGCAGAGGAAAATGGAGAGACATGAGAAGGGAAAAGAAGGACATAGTGGATAGCCAGCATTTAGAACATGTCTACTACAGAGAATTATCTCAGGAACATTAGAAAGGCCACTTCAAAAATTCAGTCCCTATGGATGCAGAGGTGGTGTGACTGGGAGAAGAAGTGACTTGGGGGTTAGGAGATCCAAGTTCTGTCTCTGGGTCTGTCACTGCTCAGCTACGTTGCTCCAAACACTTTAATCTCTGGTCTTTGATTCACCTGTCTATACAAAGAAAGGGTACCTATAAGAAAATTCCCAGGTCTGAAATTCTGTGATGTAAATGGACTATGTTATCTTACATTTGAATAAAAAGAACATAGATGTACAATACAAGGATATCAGATTTGCAGTTCCTGTGCTTGTGAAGAGACTATGCACACATTGAGATGCTCTGTTTCCTTGGTTAAGCTGTTAGTAGGTGGGGCCTATTAAAGTTCATCCACTGATGGTCAGCATTTTCATCTGGTGCCGTTTTTTGTTGCCTCTGTCTCCCATCTCTCACAGTGGTTGGGCTACATTTTTCCCGTCTATACACCCTACCTGCCCTCTGCTACTCCTATACCTCCAGTCACTTAAAAGACGAACTCTGACTAGAAACTTTAAAGTTGTCTCTCTCTCTCCCTCTTCCTCTCTCTTTCTTCCTGAAAAAGCTTCTTATAAGTACTCTTAGATGGAACAGACCAAAAGGAAGGCAATGTATGGAAAGAGAGCTCTTTCTTTCTTTGTTTATATACCTACTCTTTGAACCAGTCATGTGACCAGAGGGCATGAGGCTCTAAGATTTGCCCAGCTTCAGACACCTACTCCAACATTTGGTCAAGGGGAAGTATCTTTCTGAAGCAAGGTGGGGGAGGCAAGTTGAGGATGTGCAGATAATAACCTCTGGGAGAATAACATAGAGTTCTAATATGACAGATTTTTCTTCCCCCAACAGCCCTTTGAAGATACCCCTCTGTTGTCTTCTGACCTCTGTCACTGCCAATGAGAAATATGTTGTCAGTCTACTTGTTCTTCCATTGTAAGTAAATTGTTATTTTCCCTTGGATTAAGATTTTTCTTTTTGTCTTTCATTTTCTGAATTTTCATTGTGATGTCACTAAGTATAGACTTATTTTTATTTATTTTGCTTAGGACTCAAGTTTCTTCAATCTGAAGATATATATCTTTCTTCAGGGATGCACACAAAAAAATATGGTTGTATAACCATCATAATGGCAAAAATAAAAAATTATCAAGTTTTGGGAAAAATTCTGATAAGCCACTGATAAAAATTTATAGACTATTATAATACTTCTGGGGTACAAACTGGGGATGCTAGCAAAATAAGATATTATATAACTTATGATAAAGCAATTATAATTCTAGGTACTGATCCTGGAGAAAACTTGCATTCATGAGAAAAGGAGGCACACATACATCTATTCAGTAAAGAATTGTTTGCCATTGGAAAAAAAAGAGAGAGAAACAGAAAGAAATTAAAATAAAAATGTTCACTAATAGAATGAGTAAATCAACAATGGTATACTTATAAATAAAATTCTTAACAGCAGTTAAAACAAATGAATCATATATACCTACACCAGATACACAAATTTTTAAGACAAATGAAGAATATAAAAAGCAAACTGATGCCCCATGCGTACATTTTAATGACCCATAATACTGTAATTGTGCGATAAGCAGAAACCATGATATCTCAAATGCTCTCTATAATGGAATAGATTTAAAAAATGACAACAAAAAATGAAAGCCTATCTAAAAAATATCTATCCCCCAGAAGTCAAAAGGAAGATATGAAATAATTCCTGGCTTGAAGAAATAAGAGATTAAAAGCTATATAGAAATATTAGCCAGACACAAAGGAGTTTGGCGGGATAAGTGGGAGACTCATGATCAGCCTGGGGTCTTTCCAAGGTTACAAGTCTTAGAGAATAGAACACTTGCTCATTTTGGACCTGGGTTGTGCTGTGGCTTCAAACAGGTTTCTGACATGTGGACAAAGGGGTGGAGTTAGAATACACCATTCCTCCCAACCTTCCTGTAGCAATAGTTAGGAAAGCACAGTAGAAGATAATGGAATGTTGCAGAATGTGGAGGGATGTAAAATGGGTAGTATTAGTAGAGGAAGCTCAGGAGAGCGAGGGCATCTGAAACAGTCTTGTGCTGGGGGTTGGGTGGCCAAGCACAGGCAGATGCCTGACACTCCAACAAGGCTGTGGCTCTGTGTCCTTGAGTGAGCACAGCCAGACCCAGCCAAGTTTAAAAGGCAAGTGGGAATATGGGGCAATGCCAGAGGAAGTCTGCTTAAGGTGTGGGGCTGGGGGGAGAGGGAAACCAGAGAGTAGGGAGGAAAAATGCTAGACTCAGGTAAGATCCAGCTCAGAAGACTATTCCTCTGCAAAGCAGAATCAGGCCAACTACTCCCAAGGCAACTGGAAAAACAAGTCAGAGCATTTGGCTTCCTCAGCTGGGGAGGCCACTTCTCTGGGCAAGTGGCAATAAAAAGGCAGGGGAATTGAGCTACACAAAGCCCTCAGGTAGAAATGTTTCTCCTGCCTAAACTCGGGTGCTAAATGAACAACAAAATGAGAACCTCTACTATGAACACTTTTTAATTATGAGATATGTGAGGCCATTACATTCCTGGGAATGACACCAGGGGTGCCATGACAGTCCACTAGAAAGATCAAATTTGTCGGCCAGCCCCACTCAGACCTAATAAGGAAACTTAATATTCCTTCAGCCCATTTTAGATTTTGGCAAAGCCAGACCTCACACTTAGTAACTTCCTTGGTTCTATCCTCTATATCACTCAGAAGATACAGATATTACAGAATGCAAAATCGAGAAGAAAAGAGCATGGTGTGTATTAACTTATGTAAAAAACTGGATAATACCACAGAAATGTTAATAACTAGAAATTACTGAATTGTCTGTGTTTGTCTGTTGTGGAAATAAAACCCCTGGGGATGAATCAAAAATATCTGGAAATTACTTGAAACTAGTGGATAACTAAATGGATATTATAACTAAAATGTGCTATAATCCAATTGTGGCTTTTTTTTTTTATCTTCTAAGTGTTAGTTCTGGGAAGCATTATGCCATGAATATTGCAAAAATTACATAAAGCTCCAAATGCTATTCTATGTAAACTTCTTAAGTGGGGATTCTTGACCGTAACGTTTGGCATATTAACTCTGATAATTCTGTATGTTAATTGATTTTATGTTCTGATATTTTGACTGGTTTTGGAAAAACTGAGTTGTCCCAAAGCTAAACTCAGAGTTGTCATGTAAATGCCTGACAACTGGCTTTTTGGGTGGAAAGCCCTGATTTATAGTGTTTGCCAATTTCCATGGTGTAAACACTTGGCTATGGTTGATTGCACGCTGTGAGCATGATGTCACTGAGTGCAGAATCAGGGGTGATGAATGCAGCCGACTCTTGTAAGTTGGTATACCCACTAGTACCCAAGGGCAGGAAATGCAGTTTTTTTCAACTAAAAATCCTGTCACATAGATATACAAAGGCACTAGTGAAAGAACAAATAAGAAGGAAAAATCAAATCAAACTGGGAGCTCAAACAGAGATAATTGACAGTGGTTTTTTTTTTTTAATTTTAAGAAGGGGTATTTGTATATCATCTGCATTTTATTGTCTTTTATTATGCAAACAAGGCATCAGGGTGTCACACTGAGTGCTCTGAACTCTTAGTTTCTTTGGTGTTCTCCTACACAAAGGCTTGGGTTCCTTCCCTTCCAGATATTAGTGTGAAGACAGTGCTAACCAAAGAATCAATGGGAGCTCCACACTTTGGAACCAGTTTCAGGATGGCTGAGCTGAAGTTTAAAACAGAAGAAAAGATATGAGCCTTCTGAATTTGGGGGAGGCAATGCTGATATTTAGAACCATGGTTTGGTATGATAAATACAGAGCTTTTTTGTAATTAACATTAATGAAAACAAGGAAAATGAGTTGTTGAAAAATTGAAATGGATGAATAAATTCTTCTATCAGAGTAAGGAAAGAAGAACTTACTAAAATAGAGGTGAATTGAAAATATCAATACAAATTCTGAACATTTTTTAAAGGAGACTTTATCTGTTCTGTCCCTACAATGATTCATGCTGTTGGATATTTTTACTATCATCTTGCCAAATTCCAGTCAGAATGTAGAACAAGCTTATTTGTAGAACTAGTGCCTGTGACTTCTAAAACTATTCTCTAGTGACAAAGACAAATGCCCTTGGGGGATAGTTGATTTCATAATTCTGGGCAGAGGAAAGAAATCAGGATTAGCTTGTCGATCTTAGGGATGTTGAAAGAAAGCAAAGTTGCCCTAGGGTATCAAAGAGCCATAAGTCCATGATGATATAAAAAAGAAGATAAAATAGATTTGTCTGAAAAACATACCTGGTCTTTGAAATTTTTTACTTAAAAAGCTGTGTATTGATTAATACAAATTATGTGAGGCCTACACTTAAGTTTTATAACCAACAGTTTGAAAATACTAGATGCTGTGGACCTGTAGTGGGACATAGTCAGAAGGATATCACAGTACACTATGACTATTGTAAAAATCTCTGTGAAATGTGATATATGTGGGTAGTCAAGGATGCCAGTGGGTTGGGGAGAACCAGGGTTTCTGGTTATTCCAGGGATGACCTTTAAGAGTTTTTTTTCTCCCATCTTTCCAGCAGTAAATCACAATCTTGCCTAAGTTGCCCAGCAATGTCTGCACCATGGATAGAGGCATCTCCTGAAAGCTGCACTGAGTTTTATCAACTAACCAGCACATGTGCATTATTGCAAATTATGCCATGTTGCTATAACCATTTATCCAATAATGATTCACTTCACACAGGAAAGGGATCTGCATTCTATCTCTTTATTATTTTTATTATTGTGCTGTTGTATGCCTCAGATGGCCAATCAGAACAAGCTTTTTTACTTGTAGTAGACCCCTTGGCCTCATTCCAAGGGGGAAAAAAGTCCTACAGACATCAGAAAAATGTTAAATGGACACTGATGAACAAAAAATATTCGGTGTGTAATGTCAAACAAAAAAAAACATGTTGGTGAAAAAGTACCAAAGGTATTTAAAAAGTAAAAGGAAAATGATGAAATAAAGGGAAAATATGCCATACAAATATAAATTTTAAATGAGCTTTTCTTTCTAAGGAGATTTTATAATTAAAGAATCAGGGGTGCCTGGGTGGCTCAGGAGAGAGTCATGTGACTTTTGATCTCAGAATTGTGAATTCGAACTCCATATTGGGTGGAGAGATTACTTAAATAAATAAAGGTCTAAAAATTAGATAAAATTAAAGAAGCAAAAAAATGAGTGAAGGAAAAGAAAATAGAATGGTAAGAAGTAAGTTTGGTCATAAATATATGAGGAAAAAGATGTTTGTGTTAAAAACAACCAAAAACACCAAAATCAAGTGGAAAATGAGTCAATATAATGCCAGTTGATGTCTGTAAGAATTAAAGGTATGATAAACCAAGTGAAGAAAAGGTCATTTTAGCACCAGTTCTTGTCTATGATAGCATCCTCTTCTTTGCAAAATTCATATCTTAGACATATACTGTAGTTACACAAAATTGGAATAAAACCAACTAACAACAGATTTATCATCAACAAAGGATAGCACCATGCCCAACATATGCAGGTAGGTAGGAGGTCAAACCACTTTCCCCAAAGGAAGTGGTGGTGGAAGTGTGCTTTGGGCAAGAAGTCAGCAGTGCTATGGGACAGTCTGGTGGAGGCATGATGGAGGTACTTGGTTGGAAACTCAATGGGATCTAGGGAGGAACAAAGAATAGAGGGTTTTGGCCTTGTATAATGTGTAAACCAAAGAATGAGGGGCTTCAAGCCTGTGAGCACTGCCCACAGTCAGCATCAGCTACTCGGGATTGGCAGGTTTGCCCTGCTTAGTCTTCTCTGCCCTGGGAGTCACTGTGAGAATTATAAGTCAAACATGATTTGTAGTAATGGGGAGAGCCAACTGCTGTAACCAAATTGTCCTTGTTCCTGCCATCTCAGGTGGGATCCGTGGAGAAAGGATGTAAAGGGAGGCTGTCAATATATGAACATCCCTTCTTTACTGGCTCTTTAAATTATAGAATTTGTGTTTTGGACACCACTGAACATCTGCTACCTGGATGTATGTTAGAAAAAAATTCAGAAGGCTCTATCTCTAGGCCTTTGGTAAGCAAGAAAAACAGGGATCTTTGCAGATGGTGAACACCAGCATGAAGAGAAGACTGACTGGCTTTAATAGCAATTGCTGAGGAAGACTGCATTGTCAGCCCTGCTGTGAACACTGAGAAAAACTTAGGGTATTTCCTTCACAAGGTAAGGACTAGAGCTGTCTTAGGAACAGAAATATAGTTGTTGTCTATGGTGAGCTCATAGTTCGAATAATGTTCCTCTTACAAATTCACTCATTCCTACCCTCACTCTCCTTCTTCTCTTATTTGCTTCCCTATTCATACTGAATGGATTTTTATTTTGTGGTTTCTGATGATGACCGACTTCTTCCTGGTTCTTGCCATCACTACTTTTATATAGACCAATACACCTTTCCCTCCAGGTCCTGGGCAGTGGCTTCTACTTGA